CAGCGAGGCCGAGATTGCCGCCGTGCACCGCGCGCGGTGTATGTAGTGTAGGGTTTTAATATTTTTACGCACTCTATACGATTCTCCCCGCAGCCTCCCCGACGGCGTAATTGGCCGTTCTGCGGCTCATTGATCTACGTCCGCGTGAGTGACAATTCCACTCGTGCGTATGTGTGTGTGTGTGTGCTGTGTGTGTGTGTGTGTTGTGTGTTGTGTGTGTGTTGCGTCGCGTGTTGCTGTGTGCGTGGTGTCGGTGGTGTGTGGTTGGTGTGTGTGTGTGCGTGTTGTTGCGTATGGTGTGCTGCGGTGTGCGGTGCGTCTGTGTCGTGTGTGTGGTTGTGTTGTGTGTGTGTGTGTGTGTGTGTTTGTGTGTGTGTGTGTTTGCGTATCGTGTGTGTGCGTCGTGTGTGCGTATGTGTGTTTGTGTTGTGCGCCGGCGTGCGCGTGCGTGTGTGTGTTGTGCCGCCTCTCGCTCTTCGCCGTATTGTTGTCTGTTGTGGTGTGTGTGTGTGTGTGTGTTGCGCTGCGCTCATCGTGTGTGTCCGTGTGCCGCGCTCGCGTGCTGTTGCGTCTTTGTGCGTGTCGTTGTCGCTGTCGGTCGTCTCGTGCGTCGTCTTGCCCGTGCTGCTGTGTGGCCTTGCAATATCTCCATCAGCTGCGCGTAATGTGCGTGTGCTGTGCAAGGCCCCGCGCCTGACCCCGCGAGGAGGAAGTGCCGGTGTTAGAGCCGCGGCGGCCGATTCCTCCAGTCTAACTCAGCAGACCACCTGCCTCGCTGCAGGCAGGCCGTAAAGCTGCACGGCAACTCAGGCCGACGACTGCGCTGACTCGCTCAAGCCGCGCGGGGAATTGCAAGCCGCGCAAGTCAATGTCTGCAAGTGTCAGTGGCGCAGACGCGTGCATTCCGTCGCATGAAAGCGCGCCGTTAAACATACTGCCTCTCTATCATATATATTATATATCTATATATTATCCCCTATGTAATAAACACCAAAGCATCCGAGACGCACATCCTCGCTGGCGATAATCGGACAGGGACGCGAACGGCGGATAAGCGCACCCCTACCACGCAAATGTGAGCATCGAAGCGCCACGCAATCATAGAACTGCCATGAGACGAAAAACTACGAGGAGAGAGCCGACGAAAGCGCGGCGAAACTATCCCTCTCTCTTCCCCAGAAAGGAAGAGCAGTACGCTTGTCAGAAAGCAGAAACCCCCCCCCCCCGCGACGTAGCGCGGAAGCACAAAGAGACGCAGCGGCAGAGCCGCCCCCATAGAGAGAAGGGAGCGAGAGAGAGAGAGCCCCTCCCACAAGAGAGAGACGCAGAGAAGGAGCCCGAGAGAGAGAGAGAAAATGAGAAAACGTCAGATGACAACGTCCTAGAGAAGAGGACAGAGCCCTCCCTCCCGCCTCGAAGCGCCGCTCGTCTCCCGAAATCCCTGAAGCGCACCCGCTGTGGCATCTGCCATCGCAAGACGGCGTAAGCGACGGGCGTTCCCCGAGCCCGAGCGGAGGAGAAGAGCTCGGCGAGACTGGAGCGCACGCCCGGACCCAAAGAGACCCAGTTAATTAATGTGGTATTGGAACCGTATCTAACCGGAAGAAATGGGCGCGACTACCAGGACCGTTAGAGGAGTCTAGCGGTCATTGGCACAGACCGATCGGTCCAAGCGTGGCAGATCTACTGGCAGCAAACAAAGATAATCGTAGCCACTCCGTATGACATATTTATAGAAGGGATAGAGACGAATCGGAATGATCCCGTAGCCCTAGCGAATAACGCGTCAATATTCGAAGCAGCCGACGCCCGACGCAGCGTGTGAATGGATCCAACCCATCCAACCCACATACAAAATAACTGCCATCGTATCCAACCATACAATGTACACGTTGTGGTGGCTCGCTGTGTGTGTGTGTGTGTGCTGTGTGTGTGTGTGTGCCCGGCGCGCCGCTGCCGTGTCGGTCGTGTGTGCGTCGTGTGGTGTGTCGTGTGTGGTGGTGTCTGTGTGCTGTGTGCTGTGTGTACGTGTGTCGTGCCTTCGTGTCGTGTGGCTGTGTCGTGTGTGCTCGTGTCGTGTGCCTGTGTGTGTGTGGCGTGTGTGTGTGGATGTGTGTGTGCTGTGATGATGTGAGTTAAGGTGTGTTTAAGTGTAGATGCTGCGTGTTGTATTTGCTTGGAATGTGCGCGCGACGAGGTGCGCTGCGCCAAGCAGCGGCGCGAAAGGAGAGACCGGGAGACCGTGCATGCGTAACTACGCTCATACATAACTTTCTAGGCACGAGCGTAAAGCGCGCTGCTCCGCACCCGACGCTAGGGAGAGAGAAGAGGAGAGAGAGACGGAGAGCGCGACGCGAGGTGACAAGAGAGAGAGAGAGAGAAGAGCTTATTATTGTTCCTGAATTATACCCGTCCATCGCTATCCATTCATCTTATTTCCTATCAAGCCTTTGTCAACCGGATCTCGCGAGAGCACATCTAAGAAGCCACAGCCAACCAGCCGTCTAACAGCAGAGCAGCACACTCATTCATCACTCCTCTTCATCCTCTATCTACTCTATCTATTTACCTATCTTACCATATCAACCTCCCATTCCCAATTAAGGCCAATCAGAATCCTCAATACTCACTATACTCTAATATACTCTCCCTTCAAACTCTAGGCCTCCCCTCATCCATCCCATATCTCTCGCGTTCATATCTCACCCAGAATCTATATAACCCAGTGCCTACCCTGTTTCAAGAGTAACGCCTTAATTACCTAAATCCTCTTATACCGTTTCCGCTATCTCTCATCACAAGCGACGATACATTTATTCCCTGGATTAACCGTTTCGCGAATCATTCGTTCCCAATCCGATCACGTTCAAGTACTGAATTTTAATTTTCGATCAGGCACACAAAATCAACTACAGCAGTTATTATTCTGATTTGACCTTGCAAGTAAAAAGCAGAAAATTATCAATCTTTTACTGGTAAACTCTAAGCACTCATACACCTAAACTGTGCGCTACTATAAACGTCAGCTCGTCTCTCTGATTCTAGTCAACTACACAAAATCTCCATTCATTGCATGTCCGTCTTCTCACCTAACGACATACATATATATATACTTATATATATATATATATATATATTATATATCTAAATATCTATGCAGGAATTAAAATTATATAATAGAGCCATACTTAATTTTATATCCGTGAACTGATATTCGTTGGTAAGTCTTCGAAGAGTGCATTCATGCCATCTGCTTGACCACCGTACGTCATACCAGTACGTATCGCGCTATACCCATATCTCTGACCACATGTACCCATACCCGCCACCATTACTACACACACAACAACCAACACCACGAACAACAATCACAAACTAACAACACACAGCATCAGCAACACTCGTACACCAAACAAATCAACCCAAACAACACCTAACAACACCCTCCCTACAACAATCTACAACAACACCCTGACACAACCACAACACGCCACCCACCACAAGCCACCCAGCACACAACTATAACGACAACAGCGAGTCAGTAGCATTCACCAATACAACACCAGCCCTTAACGTTTGCACCTGCCCGTACTACACGCGACGGGTGTGGCCCGCCCTACCCGGCCGCGCATATATGTGTATGTGTGTGCACGTACCACCCCCCCACGCTACGGCCACTCTACGATGACGCCATCAACGGCTAAATAAGATAATAGTCGGTTACGCAAGGTTATGCGAGAGGTAGGAGAGAGAGAGAGAGAGAGAGAGAGAGAGAGAGAGAGAGAGAGAGAGAGAGAGAGAAAGAGCAAGGGGTGAAAAAGGGAGAGAGAGAGAGAGAGAGGGGAGCGAGAGAGAGAGAGCGAGAGAGAGAGGGGGTGAGAGAGGGAGAGAGAGAGCGCGAGCGAGAGAAAGAGGGAGAGCGAGAGAGAGAGAGAGAGAGAGAGAAGAGAGAGAGAGAAAGAGAGAGAGAGAGAGAGAGGGAGAGCGAGAGAGAGGGAGAGAGAAAGATAGATAGATATATAGAGAGAGAGGGAGAGAGAGAGGAGGAAGAAAGAGGGGGAAGAGAGAGATATATATAAAGAGAGAAAGAGAACGAGAGAGCTAGAGGGCGGAAAGAGCGCGAGAGAGAGCGAGAGAGAGAAAGAGGAGCATGGTCGGTCGGTGATACGGTTATGGGTTATCAGGCGGAGCCATAAAAATATATAGAGACACCTATATTATAATATATATAATATAATACACACACACACACAAACACACACACACACACACACACACACACACACACACACACACACACACACACACACACACACACACACACACACACACACACACACACACACACACACACACACACACACACACACACACACACACACACACACACACACACACACACACACACACACACACACACACACACACACACACACACACACACACACACACACACACACGCACACACACACAGAAACACACACTGTCATTATTTTTGTTTTTGTTGTCTTGCTTGTTTTGTTCTCAAAAATCATGCACATATGTACTTTAGATATTTGTGTTTTGTTTGTTTTTTAATACAAGAAACAAAGAAGTACAGCTACAAAAACACACACTAAAATCTGAATATGATGAATAATCTGCGATCAATGCTCCAAAAAAAGAAGACTATACAGCTCTGGGACCAGCAAAATCACTTTGTTATAAAAGGGTTTTGTTATATCTGAGCTCTTTATAACGAGGTTCCACTGTATAATCTTTGGCAATGTTAGGTATTGCACCTAATAATTATGACACATTCATACACAAATGCATAAGAACATGTCTAACATTGACATTTAACTGATTGTCTAAAAACTCTTACAGTTTAAATATTTGGCATCCTACCCATGACAAGATTTGCATTTGTTATATAATCTTTGGCAATGTTAAGTATTGCACCTAAAATCACACTAATATGCACAAATGCATAAGAACATGTCTAACGTTGACATTTCACCGATTGTCTAAAAACTCTTACAGTCAATATATTTGGCGACCTACCCATGACAAGATTTGCATTTGTTAAAAAGTTCAAAGTATACATATTTTCAAGAGACACTCTTTCATAAACTGTATATATCTTGGTATAAAGTTCACATGATAGATGTGATAGATGAATTGTGGCATAACAGTGTACACAGTACAATCAATTCATTGCTAAAGTTAGAAATACTATACTATTTCCAACATTTACGAGACAACCATGAATATGCTGTCATATGCTTTGGATATGTCATATGTCATATGGAACTATGCTTTTCCACAATTAACCTGAAATTACATGAGTAAAAAGCCAAAAAATGGTCCTTACACATTCATTTAGTTACTCTTCCTCCTCTCTAGCTCTTCGTCCACCACTCTCTTAAAATGTTCGTAATTGTCATACACTCTTTCAAAGCCTTGTGTAGTTGATTTGTTGGTGGCTGGACAGAAGGTGAAGATTTTCTGATTACTACCTACAGTTGTTGCCTTTGATGGCGTGTACCGTTTACGGAGCCCACCGCATTTTGGTACATGGCATGCAGCACATGGTTTGGTGGATGGGTTAGGGAGGAAACGAGTCTGCTTTGGTGGTGGGGAAGGTGGAGCTTGAAATGTAAAAGGCACACTGCTTGATGGAGGTTGTAGGAAAACAGACTGTGCCTTTGGTTGTGAAGGTACAACTAAGAGAATTGGTACACCAGACGCCTTTGACTGCACACCTGGATACGTAGTTGGTTTACGACATAGACGTGGTAACTTGGTCTCTGTGGAAGTTGACGCCTTTGGTGGAGGCTCATCCCCGTACGATGTTCCAGGATCATCAAACTGAAGCCGTCTCTTTTCCCCAAATCGCTTGCCAGACTCATGAGGAACATCTTTGTATTGTACTTGAGTAAAAGATGGTGATGGAAGGGACTGAGGAATCTTAGGGGCTTCTGGCATTGGCTTCGTTGATAATACTTTCCGGTGCAGTGCCACTTTTGGTTGCGCAGTTGAGATCTAGAAATGAATGCTGTGATTGATTTAGCATTAATATTTGGCAATGGAATGTCAACCCCAGAAAGGAGTGGATCATCTCGTACTCTGTCAGTAATCCTTTTGTAGCTGGCTTTGATCATGGAAGCAGCTTTTGAGGGAGATGATATACCACCGATCTTTGGGCGATTCTTTAGCATTTTTATTAAAATGTAAAGAAGCCTGGACTCCTCTGTGATTTGAGCCGCCTGCGGGAACCTCATCCATCCAAATTTTGTCTTTTGCGCAGCACTGCCCGGCTGACTGTCGGATCCTAGGCACCTGCCAAAGAGAGTATAGCCCCACTTCTACTCATATTTCTTCACGAAATTCCTAGCAGACCTATCATGTTCTGCCAGTTTACCAGCTGCTTCTGCTATCTTCTGTCTGAGAATGGCAGAGATGATATGATTATCACCGTCATCAGAGAGTTGTAGGAGGAGGAGTGCAAGGCTTTCTACTTCCTCGTATCCAGGGAGATGAAGATGACTCGGCCTCATTAGTACATCTTCCAGGACTGGACTGATCTCCTCTGTGATCTGCTCCTCCTTGGTTACAACAGCATGCTTGGCACTGATCGAGTCCATGGGGTCCACTGGACGGTCATTTGCGTCAGTATCTTCGCCCTCATCTTCAATGCCCTCATCCTCTGACTCAGACTCTATCTCATCTCCTTCATGGGATTGCTCTTCTTCAGCTGTAAAAACATAAGTTGAAAAAACACAAAACAAATATGTTAACAAACCAATAACGAAATAGCAAAAACAAAATAATTAAATAAATTAATACTATTTGTCAAAAGAAAGAAGTATATTTCTTATTCATTTCCTTTGTCCTTTCTACTGATGTTGTTAGATTTACTGTGCATTATAAGTGCTCTAGATTATAGTGCAAAAAAAATTGCAAGGCAAAAGTGCTCTACATTATGATGGGGAAAAAGCACAATGTCAAAACACAGGTTAATCTCTGATCATTTTATCACATGAGGTAGATTTATTATAATAAACTAATAAAGTGTTTCTCACCTTTTTGTATGTAGTATTCATTGGGAGAGAAGTCAGTGGACTGGCCGTAGGCATATTCGATTCCTAACAGCTCTTCTTTGGCAGAATCTTCATATTTGTCTGGGAAGACCATTGGAGCTGAAAAGTTGGGCTCCAACAAATGTTCCTTTCCGAACAAGGTCTCTGCATGCTGATTGAGTCGCTGAATTTGTCGTGGATCGACGCATGAAGTTAACCGTCCTTGCCCTCCAGCAACTTTTAGTTTCTCCATGTGGTTGTTCAATTGCACGGCGAAGGAGATGAGATATACCTGGGAGAAAAGAGCGATAAATAAAAAGTCAAACATGAATCTTTAAAAATAAAATACATATTATATTTATGCACTTTACAATGAATGTATTTTGAATCAAATACTTGACAGAACATAGGAATTAATTAACCTACATTCTTATATCTTTGGAATTATCATTTTTTTGTATCTGTTTATTTAAATTTGATTCATTTTCTTGTGCCCTCATTTTTTTCCGAGAAGCAAAATTTATAATTTTTGCACAGGGAAACATTTCACGTCACAAGTTTCCTATATTCTGAAATTTGCTCAGTAGAAGTTTTTGGATGTCAGAACATATATCTGCTACAATACAAGTATAATATCAGGATAAATAAAACCAGATTTTTATTCACTTTTGATAATATGAATGACGTTAACCACCGGTATACCTTAATTATTGTTAATGAATATGTGTGTTTTAAAAACATGTTCTGGTTTTTAAAACTATACTACGTACCAGTCAATCGGCTTTTGAAATGCATTTAGTAGATATGGGGATTCTTTTATAGTTTGGCAGTGTTTATCCTTGCATGGTTACTCATATAAAGCTGGGTTTACACTATCGACTTCATGCAGGCAACTAGGCTGATTTTCTTTTTTTTACCAGCCTCTATATATATGTTAAAAGTGATGCATTATCGACCGCGAGGCGGCAAACGTTTCAACATTTGGCCCGTAGCGTGCGCGCGGGGTGACGCGGATACGCATTTTTGCATGTATTCCAGCGTACGTGGCGCCTAAAGCACAAACGTGCTCTCCCCCTAGGTGGAGGGACACAACCCCTGATTGCTGTTCTAGTAGTGGCCAGCATGGCAAAAACCTATACAATTCAGCAATACCGAGTTGGGCATATAGAACAGGTTCTACTCGCCCAACCAGTTGTTAGTAAACAGTTGCTTGTGCGACTTTTGCGTTTACACTATCGATTGTCGGTTGTACGACTGCGAAGTTCGTACAATTTGCCAATTTCACTGCATAAAGTCGGTAGTGTAAATTCCCAGCTTAATACAACCGGCAGTGTTATGTCAAGTCGTTTAGTAGTAACATAAACTTTGTTTATTTAACTTAACTTCATTTACACTACGTTTTTTTGCAAAGACATGAACTTTTTCTAATTTTATAGTTTGCTTCGAGAGCAAAGAAAATTAAGAACAATTAAGCCGATAGTGAACGAGGTTGTGAATGATGAGGCCATGCTAATTAGACACTATCAAGGAGAGATCGATGTTCTGACGAGACGGCTCGAAAGTGCTCATGTGGGTATTAATTATCAAGCAATCTAACGAGCGTCTTGCCTCTAATGACTGTGGTCATCGTGGCTCGATTCGAATGTTTACAAAACATACTTTTTTCTACTCGTCTACGTTACGCTATGTCGAGAGTGCTAGTCGACAATAGTTGATGGTTGCTAGATTTCAGCTTTATTTCGTTTGGCTCGTCAAGAGGAAATATTCTCGTTGCAGATGTGCTGCATTGTACAGTCAAACCTGTATGTACGAGATCGCTGAAAGGAATGTGACAAGTGTCCTTTTGACAGGTGTCCTATAAGTGTATCCAGAAAGTCAGCTGTTGTTATTTACGTGCGTAGAAAAAAGGGGGTATAAAATGGCGGAGGGGCGCTTAGGGAAAGTACTGATATGTAACACTTGTTGCGTTTTTAGTTTTTGTTTAAACATACATTGCAAAGATCCTAATGACCACGCTATATTTTGCAAATGTTTCTGATAAACAGAAAGCACATGGTGGATGAGTATGATGTTAGTGAGGAGAATTATAGATTCAAAAACCCTAGGATGAGTACTTTCTATCCTTGTTATATAAGGCAACTTATCAACCTCTTATTGATCTCAATATGGGTGGCGGTGATTTCCGTATGGGCTTATTTTATGGAATGGTGGTTTGATGTGGTATTAAAAGAATTTCAGTAAAATGCAAAGGCTTTAGGAGACAAGTGTTCTCTCTCTACAGAGGTGTCTATACCTGAACGGTTCACTGCATGCTGAGCGAAGGCGTTAAATATTTGCATGGCAACTCGATACGATTTTATATATATAGATAAGCTGATTTTAATAATTAATTACCGTAAATGATGTTAAACTAGTGTTAATGTTCAAGTTAATTATTTATTATTGTTAATCTTATTGGCCTGCGTACGAATTTTTAACTCGCTATATAATTTAGGCTAGATTATATAAATCTGTTACAGATTAATAGTTGTTAGTTTCAGTATTATTTTATTATTTGAGTCTAGATCTTGGCAACCTGTCGTGAATTTTCTTTGCATAAGTTTACTTAGCACTAAGGTTAACAGTTCAGAATTATGGTTACTTCGTGTATGCCGAATAATTTCTGCGTTTGGTGGTAACCGGCCGGCATGACAGTGTGTGCGCTCATGGCACCAGGGGTAGGCACGAAGCGTCACAGATGCGTTATGCCTTTACAGCAGTCAGAAGGTGCAAGGACCTCTATGTGCCCAATCTCGAAAATGGCTTCGAGGAGGAGCGGCGAAAACCGAAGATCAAGAGATTAAGTTACGAGGTTGTGGCCCGAGGTACTGTGCCGGCACGAAGGAAGGAAGGAAGGAGGAGGAAGGACGGCTGCGGTCACACAGTCTTACTCGGGAAAGGGAGGCGGTACGACTTGACTACATTCTCGTACCCAGACTTTCGGCTATTTTATATATCAAGACCATACGATCTATGGTTGGTGCGATTTACGCATTAATTAGTGTACGGTAAAAAACGCCCCGGACTTGTTTCCCTCACGCCCCCCCCCCTCCCCCCCTTCTTCCCCTACCCCTCTCCGCCCCTGTTATTCAATTTCTCCTGCGAGAATCCCTGGCATGGAATTACGATGTTCGTTTGTTTATATATCATTTTATATTTGTTTAACTGATATAAAATTAGTTTTGAAGCAAGTTTATTTACAGAAAGTAATATTTTAAATGTGTATGCGTGCAGTGCCCCTCGAAATAGGTTTGTCCGGTTGTCCGAGTCAACCAGAATTTTGCTTGCGCAGGACACGCTACATCTGAGACCATTGTCGAGTGGAAAACAAGAAACCTATCCCTAACCCTAACACATAACTCTAAACCAAGAAGATCGTGCGTGAACAGAATAAACCACTCATGCGAAATCACGATGCAATGAGATGTAGTACGCAATGGAGCGCCCAGTACGCATTTTAGGAAGACAAAACCTCAGCTCCGGGTCTGCTTGATACATAGAAATATATGGATAACCATGTTCAATTTATATATGATTATTACTAATATAATGTATAGATATTGTTATGCAACTAGCTGTATCAATTTCATTCAAGTGTTACAAAAATCTACAAGGGATTCTAATTTTCGGGGATGTTACTATTTTAGGATTAGACTATGTACTATCTAGCATGTGAGAATTCCTTNCTGAAACTGAAACAGTGCCAATGGGTGCTCGCTTCAGCTTGTATCGCGCGCGCGCGGGCACTCGATCAGGTGAGCATAGGCTATATATAGACTCCCTGGTTGCCGTGATCTCTGCCTCGCTCAGAGGTCTGCCCCACTCTGGCCGCGCAGTAGTACCGCGCAGTGCTCCACGCAGTGGTCGCTTACCAGTAATACTGTATGCGTCGTGTAGGCATTGTGCTTTCGTAATATATATACACTGCCAGNGGTCGAAATGTGCAGCGCGTGAGGGTTGAGCCACCTTAATGTCAGTGAAACATCTTGCGAGGCAATAATATTATAGCTGGGGGCCGTACGGCCCACAACTCACATTGCATGCTAGAGGAAGGCTGATGCTAAGCTGGGGCCGTACGGCCACAACTCACATTGCATGTATGAGGCGAAGGCTGTATGCTAGCTGGGCCCGCGTACACGGCCACAACTTCACATTGCATTGCTAGAGGGAATTAAAGGCTGTATGCTAGCTGGCGCCGGTAGCGGCCACAACTCACATTGCGCATGCTAAGAGGAAGACTGTATCGGCTAGCTTTGGGGCCGCGTACGGCCACAACTCACATTGCATTGCTAGAGGAAGGCTGTATGCTAGCTGGCGGCCGTTACGGCCACAACTGCACATTGCATGCTAGAGCGGAATTAAGGCTGTATGCTAGCTGGGCCGTACGGCGCCACAACTCACATTGCATGCTAGAGGGAAGGCTGTATGCTCACCGAAGCTATCTGCTGCGCTGCGTTGCTTTGACGGCCCTTCATACACTGTGCTTGCTGAGTACTTGTTTTTGTCTGCGGCTTTCGGCGATATCAGGAAGCCGGCAAGACAAGGCGCAACCAAGCAGAGCAGACAGAGGGAGCTACAGCGGCCGAGTGTGTGAAAGAGAGAGAAAGAGAGAGAGAGAGAGAACGAGAGAGAGAGAGAGAGAAAAGAGGTAAGATTAGATAGATTAGAGGAAAGAAAGCAGAATAGAGGAAATCAGCATCAGCATACAGCTTCAGCATCAGCTCGCTCAGCATCAGCATGAGCATCGGCATCAGCAAGGCAGCCAGCATCAGCAATAAGGCAGTTAACCTTCAAGCTTCATCCTACATTTTCAGTGTCAAAAACAACTTAGTATTCGAATTTGCTAAATTCCTAACCAACCGCAATCATAGCAGTAAACCTTCGACGCTTCATCCTACATTTTCATTGTTCAAATATACTTCTTGTGTTTCTATTTTGCTAGATTCATAACAACCGCGCACTGGCCACTTGTAAATAGTATTATTCTATTGGTACGAAAAATAATTTACCTTGATACCATTAACATTAAATCTATTAAACTTTTTTTTGTAAATTCAATATTAACTCGATTGGGATATGTATATAATGCACTTTCTAATTAAACATTGTGTTATACGCCTGCAGTAAAAGAAATGTTTTACGTGTTCACTTGTTTACTTGTTCAATTTGAATCAAAATTTTTCACAATGCTTCATATTTCACTCTAAGCTGCTCTCTCTTTCTCTTGTAGTCAAATACAAGTTCCGCGCTACTTTTCATTTGGCCAATTGTCATTGAACATTACACACACACACACACGCACAGCATGCAACGCAACGCCGCGCAACGCAAACACGCACACGGCGCGCACGCACGCACGCACGCACGCCAGCACACACATATAACTGTTAGTCTATGCTTCAATTACTCAAAATTCACAGAACCCATAGCTTAAGACATGTGTGCTTATATGTATCTAGAATTTTAGGAAATGATGTAGCCGCGCGCCATATTAGCCTATGCATGACGATTACCCGTTGCGTATATTAGCCTATGAATATACGCGCAGCGTACTATATTTCTGGTAATTAATGTTAAACTATTCGTGGCTTCAATAATCTCAAAATTCACAGAAAACATAGCTAAGCGGCATGTTTCTAGAGCCAAGGAGGTTATATGTATCTACAATTTTAGAAATGTAACTCAAATCGTTCGCGAGATATTAGAATTAGCTACTTCAAGTAGCCGGCCGAGGCGAGGCTCACCGATTTTCCAGGAGGGTGAACTCATCCACGAGCCCGAGCTCACCGATCTCCAGACGGGTGAAACTCGCCCACACGGTGCGAGTTGCTGGTGGGCCGAGTTGGACCCATTGACGCCATAATACATATAATGTATACACAAGTAGGGGGGGGGGGGGGGGGGGGGGGGGGGGCGGGGGGGGGGGGGGGGGGGGTTGGGGGGGGGGGGGGGGGGGGGGGGGGGGGGGTACGCAGACTTGTTACTACAGAAGTGCTAACCCTAACCCAAAACATACCTCATATAAAAATATAAACATAATACTAAACTACCTCGGGTACATATATGTAGTACCTGATACACAACGACGCGCTTCGTGCATAACTGCGGCTGATAGGCCTCTCATGTCCGCCCAGGGTAGCTGCCGGAACGTACCCTGGGTACGGCTTCGGTATACCGGAACGATACCTGGTATCTATCTAAATAGTGCTGGACTGTACGCTTTGCCTACTCCACTAACGGAGTCTAGGAGTCGTCTACGCCTAGCTCCCGTAACCTTAACCTAAACGACCTAACCCTAACCTTAACCCTAACCCTACCATATCAGAATAGTTACAGGTTACGTTCCAGCGACCGGTATACCGGGACCGTGCCCAGGGTACGTTCCAGGAGTACCCTGGGAGACATAGACCCTATGAGCGTAACTGCGACCCCTAACATAACAGTATCATAAGCGGTGTGTGTGTGTGGACTGTGTGTGTGTGTATCACTGTAGTCTGTATGTTAATTAACGACATTAGCCTACTCATTATCACTGAGCACTTGCGTCAGCGCCTTCGACACTAACTTAATTCAACCCTGCCGCCTCGTTCATGATTTCGTTCAGGAGAAACACTAGTAATGGTATGTCTGTGTGGGAATGTGTTCATTATTTGTGTGCAGTCGTATGTGCGTGCGTATGTGTGCGTGTGTGTGCATGCCATGCGTGTGAATGCCATGCGTGTGCATGCCATGCGTGTGCATGCCATGCGTGTTAATGCCATGCGTGTGCATGGATGTGTGATGTTTGGAGTGAAGCATTTCTTGTAATTTTTTTTTATGTGACATTCTTACATTTAGGATGTTTCACTCATGAAGAAGCTTGCACAACCACTGACGTCAAACGTGATGACAAGGTGGCGCCACAGTGTGGCAGGCTGCCACACGTCAACGGTGTTCCAAACAAATCAAGCCATACCATGTGTCGATCAAGTAAAGAGTTCTGAACACTTATGCAAAAGCCAAAAGGTAACGGGTTGCTAAAAACGACAAACGAATAAAGTCAGTTGCTGCAGCTTCTGTACTGTACAGTCAAACCTGTCACTCAAATAAAATGCCTGGACTGTCATTTAATTTATTAACATGTGTCTGTACTATAGAGATGGTTTCACTGTATAACAAACACTAGAAGGTAAATGTAAAAAGCTACCTTGAGACACAGGTGTCAGTTGTATCGAGATGGTTTCTTCGTATATAGTTGCCATCTGTGCAGAATGCAGAAAGTTTCCTTCGTGGACCGATATATATCCATTCTGTAAGGGTGACCGCTAACACAGACTTGAGTGCATTCACAAATGCTGTTAGAAGGCAAGCAGGAATAAATCCGAGTAGACTTTCTTGTTGTCTTCTGTAGTTGATGCTAGAGCTGGGGCTCATTGCTCCGTCCAGCCCCGGCTGTCTGCATCTCCTCCCCGGCGCCGTGCGCGCGCTGGAGAAGCTATGTCGGCTGATCGACCACGAGATGCGCGCCATCGGAGGCAGGAAGATCGACATGCCGTCGCTCGCCGTCGCACAGCTGTGGAGAGCATCAGGCAGGTTGTGTTTGCTTGTTTAGCCCTCACGCTTCACCACGCAGGCAGGTTGTGTTGTCGTACGTGATAGTTGAAGCATCAGGCAGGCAGGTTGTGTTTGCTTGTTTAGCCCTCACGCTTCACCACGCAGGCAGGTTGTGTTGTCGTACGTGATAGTTGAAGCATCAGGCAGGCAGGTTGTGTTTGCTTGTCTAGCCCACGCGCTTCACGCAGGCTGGAGCGTCGTCATACGCGATAGTTGAAGACACGACGACTCGTATGAATGATAGACTTGTTTATCATAATAAAGTCGTAATGTCGTTTGTCCGTACCGCTACGTCTAGAGGACATTGAAGCTGACTCGGAGGACGAATAGTAATAATATGATCATATAGTAACTGTATATACTAACATGCATATGAGTTATTTGAATGTTGAGCATTTGACCATGCTGCCTGCAGTATTGCTACATGTTTTGTTGAGACATTCTTGTTGTGTGTATGATACAGGGAGATGGGAAGCGATGGGGCAAGAGTTGTTTCGATTCAAGGATAGACACGACACTGATTACTGTCTTGCACCGGTAGGTTCAGTCTCTGTAAATACTGAAGTGTTACAGAATCGCTTGTCTTATGTCAGACATGCAGACACGTAGATGTCATTCAACAATGAATGTTGGACTATTTCAAAAATCCAACGATAGGTTCTTACAACTCGCTATGTATTCTTTAGCAACGTTTAACTGTACACTCATTTTGTACATTCACTCGTGGGCCATGGTTGGTGAACGATCGACCTAATAAGTAACATTTGAGTTTTTAATTGAGATGTGGCATTTAAATGCTAACCATGTTACAACATTGACATTCCTACATCACTCATCCACAGGGTCTCCAACCATTCCTCATTCTGCGGAATCATTACGATTTCTAGGCTTAATTTCCGCATTCTGCAGCGGCAAGGTTATATTCCTCATTTCAGTTGCACTGTACAAAATTTGCACTGATTGTTCGCATTGTTCGCTTGGACACATTGTTTTTTTTTCAGGCATTTTGTATCTGGCATTTTTACGGTAAATGGAACAGCCTAGTCAGACAGGCACTGTCTGCAAAGTGTCGCGTAGTTTGTCTGCTAATCAGACAAGGGTTGTAGGGTTGAGTCTAGGGTTGAGATAGTGTTATCAGACATGAGAATATAGCCCACAGTATGCCTCAGATTGCAGGAAAATGGCTTAAATATTTCAAAATTATCTAGGGGGCATGCCCCCAGACCCCCCTAGCACTGCCATGCCTACGGCACGCGGGCCTGCCAGCGGCAGCCAAGGTACATTTCGCCCCCCCCCCCCCCCACTTGTCCATCAATTTCTGAATACGCCACTAGTTACTGATCACTGCGGGAACATTCCGCATTTGGAGTTCACAGGGTTGGAGACCCTGCATCCATGAGTATTGACAGGGTTTAATTACCAAACTGTGTTCATTTCTAATTCTTCTTCACAGACTCACGAGGAGGTAGTTACAAGTCTAGTCGCTTCACAGGGAACCATGACCTACAAGTCCTTACCTCTCCGTCTCTACCAGGCAAGAACATGCATGAACGAGGACATTTCTAGGCAACGACATATCGCTTCATGTGTATAGAATAGGGGCAAAATATCTGCAAGAGTTTTGGTTAGTGTGATCGAGCTTTCGTCTAGATTTAAACATGTTGCAACTTGAATTCGGTCCACAGATTACAAAGAAGTTTCGGGATGAGATGAAACCGCGATTCGGTCTCTTGAGGGGCAAGGAGTTTTACATGAAAGGTATGCGGTCTAGAAAGCTATAGTAGTATGAAATTGTGGTGATGAGATGTGTTTAGTGTTTGGATTATGAGATAATGTTGCTAGAAGCATGAACATATGTATGTATAAATGTGTTTATGCTAAAGATGTATCCTGTCAGTTATATAAGGTTCTGTCTTGTTTAATATTGATAGAGGTAAAATGAAGGCCCTTTTAATTAATATTTTGTATCATTATTATATTGTTTCCTTGTGTTCAACTCTGTACTTATTCATATTCACTGATACCTGGATACTCAGGTAAATATTTCAACTATTGTGATACTAGAGGGCAGCAGGAGTTTGTTAATTGGAGCTCACACAGGTTTATGTTTTCTACTCCAGTACATTTCTTTTATGAAAATACATAATTACAGACATGTACAGCTTTGATGCAAGTGAAGAAAGTGCCAAAGAAACATATGAGGCTGTGTGTGAGGCATATGCAAATCTGTTCCAAAAGCTCAAACTAACGTATGTAAAAGGTAAACCTTCACACAAGGTTACATAATGAAATACTGGTGCATTTTTGCACGTGAAATTTCAGCATATACTACATAACTTCCGCATAAAATTGCTCGTATACCACGAGATCGATGTTATTTTTTCTATATTCGAAAACTGATATCGCTATTATAAGTAGCAAATAATATAGAATTTTTAAGTTGTTTCATATTAATTCCATTTGTTATTGTTATGGGTATGGCCATGGACAACTATACTGTATTTGTTCTGTATTGGTTTCAGTGTTGGGTACGACCGGTAACATCGGTGGCAGTGTGTCGCACGAGTTTCACCTACCTGCATCTATAGGGGAAGATGCACTCTATCTGTGTCAAAAGTAAGCACCTGTATGTATTCTACCTGTTGTCTATGCCTACCTGATACCTGCTGAGTGCCAAGTTGGTGCCCATGGTCTGTCCGTGTCAGAAGTAGTAGATAGCAATAGTAGATGAGTGTTACTATACCTTAAATTATTGCTGAAGTTGCTTAGAAGAACATGCAATGAATTGTTAATGTTGGCTAGAAGACATCATTGCTAATTTGCTCTAGAAGTAATGCTGTTTTGAGTTTCATTCGATGGCCTGTAACACGACTTTGTTTTCATAACAGGTGTTCATATCAAGCGAATGCAGAAGTCTTGGGTGAGTCACCATATATCAGTTTTTTTCCGATACACTCACCCCCGCTTATTGTGCACATTTATTGTTTCTGTACCATCGTCTTTTCTGCGTGTTTTTGCAATAAAATTTGCGCTGCGATTGTATCTTCGCGATGTGATC